ACATTCACCCATCCATCCATTCATCTACCACCCATCGGTCCATTCATTCATTGAATGCCCCCTGTCTCCTGCCACCCTTTTGCTCAGCCCTGCCTCTGGTTGACTGAAATGATTTTGAACTTTGACTTCTCCTGTGGGCAGCACAGTGCATTGCTCAGTGTTTTTTGGTGAGTGCTCAGTGACCTCTATAAAGGACTTGGCTCAGAGCCTGCCCTGTGAAAGGGGCACAGGAAATCTTTTATTCATTTCCCCTTGTTCCATCCCTTCCTGGCAGGGACCTGTCAGGAGTCCCTTTTCAATTGGCTCCTGTCCCACTTGCAGCAGTGATGCCCTCTGCTGCCCTCTTCTGGTCACTGCCAGTCTGTTATTAATCCTGGGTGGTTTCAAGCCTTTATCCTTTTTCCTCCAGGCTTGGAGGGATTCTTGGCTATAAATGTGACCCTATTCTGACTTGCTTCGAGAGATGCTGTGGGAGAGAGATTCCACACTAAGTGTTTGGTATTCACGCCTTTAATATTCACAACTGCTAGTCCCCATTTAACAGATGAGGACACTGAGGCTCAGGTTTTAGTTACTTGCCTAAAGATCACCTGAGCATGTAAGGAACAGAGTCAGAATTTGAACTCAGGCCTGATTGTAGAGCCCTTAACCATCATGGCATTGTCTCTACTGAGAAACCCTGTTCAAAGCAGGTTTCCTGTTTATGAAGACATATATCATGGTTTGCCAATTTTCTGGTGACTTACATGTATACAGGGCTGTGCTCCTTGTGGGAGTGGCTGCACTAATGAATAATGTTAGGAAAGGCCTGTGAGTGAAACATGCTATGGATGCTGCAAGATTTGTCTGGAAGAGATACCTGCCTGCATGCAGACTCCTTCCTTTCCTGAGATTCACACAGCAATGCCTGCTTGCCATAGCTGAAGGATTTTCTTTTCTTTTCTTTTCTTTTCTTTTTGAGACGGAGTCTTGCACTGTTGCCCAGGCTGGAGTGCAGTGGTGCGATCTCAGCTTACTGCAAGCTCTGCCTCCCGGGTGCACGCTGTTCTCCTGCCTCAGCCTCCTGAGTAGCTGGGACTACAGGCACCCACCATCATGCCCGGCTAATTTTTTGTATTTTTAGTAGAGACGGGGTTTCACCATGTTAACCAGGATGGTCTCGATTTCCTGACCTCGTGATCCACCTACCTCGGCCTCCCAAAGTGCTGGGATTACAGGTGTGAGCTGACGCATCTGGCCAGCTGCAGGATTTTTAAATGAAACAATCTTGGGCCGGGCGTGGTGGCTCAAGCCTGTAATCCCAGCACTTTGGGAGGCCGAGACGGGCGGATCACGAGGTCAGGAGATCGAGACCATCCTGGCT